ATAAGTCTATCTCGTGTAAAACACGGCATGAGAAGAAATTTTTTCGCACAGCTAGCATCTAGAAATGATAAGCTTTTTCGGTAGTTCCTGGTAGTAGGAGGCTTAGGAGCGAAGGCGCTCCTGTTGAGGCCACATTGACCACACATTATCTTATGAGCCAATATTAAATCAAACTTTCGTCTTTTGCGAGACTAAATAGTCCGAGATTCCTATAACGCATGTCACTGGCAGGAATTTGATCGTATAGAAAACAACAAATCATTAACTCGCGCGTAAGCTGTTATGTACTTTCTCAAGGTTGAACAGTTTTGCGCTTGAAAGGACTGTATATAACAGTTGCATACTCAAACAAGGGTCTTATGAAAGATTTGCAAGCTTTCAAAACAATAGGGTCCTTAGCTGCAAGTGCCCTAAACAAGTGTAGACAATCACTGTTGTTTTATCGGCAATATTCTTGAAATGCTCATCAAAACTGAGATTCTTTGTAACTAAGGACCTCAGATCTCTGATTGAGTCAACCGACTCAATCGTGACTTCTCCCATTGAATGCGAAAATTCTAAAATAGTTGGGCCTATATGGTTTTTTTTCCACTTTCTTAGGACTGGAAAAGACTGGGCCCATGCAGACACGCCTTCATTCACTCTACAGTAGGAGATGTACTCCACTGCGACAAGTTTGGCTAACAATCTACTGTGAGGCACCTCATCAAACTCTTTAGAAAAATCAAATAGATAACATCTGTATTAAGCCGTTATCTAATTGAAGAGCCCTGTATTCTCCATAGATTGAAGCATGGCTGTGACAGTAGATTTGCCCCTTTGGAAACATGCTGATACGGGGAAATGATTGAGTTCGCTGTCAAGTGGTTAACAATGTGCTTCTTCAAAATATTCTCAAAGACCCTTGAAATTATGGGTGTTAAACTTGCAGGTCGAAAGATGTTGGCACAAGTCAATGTTTTCTTCTTAGGTGTAGACCCCACAAATCAAACTCTTTATCTACTCGGAACCTCACTTCGCGTTATACTCAAGTTGATTATGACTTGAAAGGGGCCAGCAGTCACGTGAGCAATGGACTTTATAAAAGGCGACGGTAAAAAGTCACGAATTAAGGAAGTAAATTCATGCCACTTTATCAAGAGTTGGTAAATCTCATCACTATCAAACCAAACTCCATCAATCATTTGAGTAAACTCCTATTGTGAAACTACCTTTTCCACAAATGATTTCTCAAGGTGTTGGCAAAGCATTCTGCCTTTTATTCAGCACTAGTAGTCAACACTCAGTAGTCAACACTCCAGCATCATTAACAATATTAAGTCTGAAATTGACCATTTTGAAAGAAAAATTACAATTTCCCAATCAATCACTTTCTTCTCGATGGCATAATTATACTTTTTGGGCCTCTTCATAAACTTTGAGTTAACTTTCTCGAATGTATTTCAGTAGCTCCTATCACTATTTCCAACTGCAGTTGCCCATGCTTGCTCTCCTTTACGGAACAGGGCATCTAAGCAGAGATGCTGACTTGTTCTATTAAGCGAGAAGCAACGGGAGCAAAAAGATAAATAGCATAATAGGAAACACACAGAAACAACTCGTACATGTCATCCACCGTCGCCAAATTATTGATGGAACCGTACCATTCTACTTACAGAGGTATTCTGTCAAGCTCTCAATATTTGCATGCTTGTAATTTCTATAACTAACAAAAGTTGGATCAGAGTGCTTGCGATGGCTCAACATGAATTTACCCTAAAATCCCATAGATAGAAGCGGTTTAATTTATCGGTGAAAAATGAATTGGAAGAAATTGAAATTGAATGCAGTCACCCCTCTAACTTGATGAATGGATAAATAAAAATCGGAGAAGAAGTTTAGAAGAAGCTCCGCCCCTCAACTCTTAACCCCGCTTACTTAATAAACAATTCATATAGAAAAATAGCGATTTTAACGGAATTTCGGAATGTCTATATAAATTGTTTATTAAGTGGGCGGAGTTTAGAGTTAAGGATCAGAGCTTCTTCTAGACTTCTTCTCCGATTTTTATTTATCCATCCATCAAGTTAGAGGGGTGACTGCATTCAATTTCAATTTATTCCAATTCATTTTTCACCGATAAATTAAACCGCTCTTATCTATGGGATTTTAGGGTGACTAAAGCGTGATCTCTATTACCTAATGATGCCTCAACACTAGAACTTGCCACCAGCATCAAATCATGGTAAGAACTAGATCAAGTAGGTGCTGGCCCAAGTACTACCAACCTTCTGACTCAGTTTATGAAGAAGGCACATTTGAGTGTAACTTTTAGCAGGGGCAGTTCATCCTTTCAAACTGCTATGACTAGCCCGGTCAAATCATGAAATTTGAAATCACCCAACATTACGACAGAATTATTACATGCCAAAAAGTCCGTAAGGGCTTTGATCAACTGGTTCGTTTTACCCGATGAGCAGGAGGGGGATCTTTGAACCAGAATCCACCTTATAGACTTATATTCCACAGTTTTACAGCACAATAGTTTCTAACTGTCCGATACAGACTCTTTGAATATTAGATACGGATTCAATCTGTTACTGATAATGGAAGGAACGCCTCTACCCCTCTTACCTAGTCGATCACATCTTTGGAAAGAATAGTCTTCAGTTAGATCAATAAATAAAGAGCTATCACTAGTGGGGTCAGTTAACCACGTCTTAATGAAAGCAACCAAAGCAAGCCGCTTATCCTGCAAATGATACTTTAGATTATCGATATTCTTGCAGATAGGACGAGCATTTGTTAGAAGACGTAGACATTCTAGCTGGCCATTTGCAATTCTTACACTACTAAGCACTAAGAGAGCTGAGAAAATCATTTTGAGGTTCAACTTGGAATGACCGACATTATTAACATTGCTATCAACACAATGAACATCTTGGCTCTCATGGATACAACTGTCATTATGAAGAACAGAACTCTGATTCTTAGTCTATGCACTGCGACGTGCTGCTTTGCCTTTATGAAGCATTTCCCTTTCCTCCCCAGGGAGGGAAGGGCGAATGAACACCCCACGTTTGAAAGAAAAACTCCTCATTTTTGAAGCTCGCCTCAGTACAAGACTCACAAAAACTTATATGGAAGAATTACTTATGAAAGCCCGTCATGCCTTGATGACGGTCTGCTTAAACTATAAACCGATACGAGTACATAATCAATGGCGAGATGATCGAAAATTTGCGCTGCGCAATTGAAATCATGGCTAACATTAGCACTACTGAAAGCTCCTTTCGATTCTGGAGCCCCACTGATAATGAGTGAGTGTTGTCTTCTCGTTCCTCACAAACGGCGGGTAAAATAGTTGGAGACAAACGAGAAAGTACAGGGAGGCACTAGGTTGATTGCAATCAATACTTGAACGAAACAATTGATTATCATGTTTTGAAAAACCTAACTGCTTCGACAAAATCTGAACTTGGGTGAGCAACTCACGGTTCTGCTGGCTGAGGGCTTCATAAATTCTTCACCTTCCAGTAAATATTCAACAATCATCCTGGCGTATAATGGGATTGAATCGTCATTGAGAATAATGCGACCGTATCGAAGTTTGGGGGCATTAACTCAAATTAAATTCTTCTTTTCCTTTGCTTCTCTTGTGGCTCGAGGAGGTATATTGGGTTTTTATCTCCTTGGTAGAAGAGAACAGTAGTAGTAATAGCAGAAAATAGAAGTTTGACGAGATGTAGAGCGAATCGGTGACGATTGAAGTGGGGCACAAACGAGCGGGAGCACTGGAACAACTAACGCCGGCAGGCAACAGAGTCGAATCCCTCGCTATGAGATAATGCTCTCTAATACAACCCCACTGCAAGTATTGACTGGCCTATTCGATTTGCAGTAACCCTCGTCTTTTTTACCCCTCTCTCTCTTTTTATGCAGTTTTCACTATATAACATTGTAAGCAAGTCAAAAATTTATTTCTGCATCCTGATTTTTCGTCAATATGTGTCAGTCTGCAAGCACTGCTTTTCATCAGGGTAACTCTACAGAATTTTGAAAATCAAGAGACTTTGTTTTTATAAAATGACAGAGAAGACGACGCGTGCTGGTTAGGGATCAATTTCCACCATTTGGAGCAGCATCCACGGATCACTGGTACCTAAGCGACGCCAGCGTCGTGAAAGGACCAGTTATCCGCTGAGGTGGCTTGAAATGGCGAAGTTCATTTCCACCATTCGAAGACACCGTTTTCTTAAAGAAAGTGAACAGATTTACGGCACGATAGCAAAGCCACTGACTGACATTAAATGCCTAGTCTCGTTGCAAAAGGTCTCCAAAGCGAGAAAATCGTTTCAGAAGCTACCTACCCACATGTAACGTAAGTGCTTTGAAGCTAGTATTCTTAAATTGGGCTCTAAGGAGTGCAAACATGCCAAGAGCTGTTCTTTTATGAAAAACGCATTTTTGTCGCCTCGATTTACTTTGAGGATAGCTTCTCGGTCATATCAAGGTACCCTTTAATTCAACTCGCTTGGCGGCTGCAAGGAGGAGCTTCGTGACCTAATTAAGGCTAGGTAATGATCACAGAACATGCGCATTGGAGAGCACACACGTGTCGCGGACGCGAGCGGTCGCCTTACAGCAGCCGATCTCATTGAATAAAAGGTTATACAGTCTGTGTCAATCACGTGCTCCCTTTTCCGTAAACACAATGAGCTTCGCGCCACGTTCGCATGCGTATAACACGGGCATTCAAATGGGCCTCATCGATTGGAGGTCCGCACGCGGGGCCCTCGCGTTGCGCATGCGTAGTTCCTACGCGAAATGGAGTACGTAATTGACACTTAATGTACGCTTGTGCGTATGCATCGTCGCCTACCGATTCTCAATGAGTTCTTTTTGCATGTTACATAGATGCACACGCAGCGATAAAATTGCTTTACTTGCATGGAGACCGTCACCTTCATTTTGCAAAAATATTTTTGATACCCATCTCTGGCAATTTTTTGTTGTGATGCAAAAAAGACGAAGACAAATATTTATTGCAACTATTTATTGCAAATTCTGTTGTACCATGCGGCCTAACTCAGATAACGGATCACACCTTGGTCGTAGTGCGCTTGTGGTTCACTGATTCGTATTGACGTTAATTTCTACCTTGTTTACTGAAATCTTTTTTGAACAGTTTGTACACTTTGGGTGCTTGCCGTGTGAACAAATTATGCACTTTGGGTGCTTGCGGTATCTTTTTGCATCTGAATGTAAGCACTGTAGCTAACGTATTTTGTCAAAGTAAAAACCAAAGGTATTACCAGCCATATGCACAGAGACCATGAGAATCACCTGCAAATTTTTTCATAGAGATGAAGTAAAAAACTGTAGATCTGACGGTCCGTGCCCCCGCAGTACCTCACAATATAAACATCAACAACAGCTCATAGGGCGCAAAATTCGAAAATGATTCCTTCGTGGCCATTCAGCGCAAGTTGCCGGCAACGGAAATTTACCTCGCAACTGCTCTTGGTACTGTAGGGCGATATATGGACCGTCAAATCTGCTAGCCTATGACTACACCCACCAGCATGATCATATAGAAAATCTTCATCTCGACTCCTTTGCTTAATTTCCTAAATAGGAAAATTCTCGTAGAGATCATGCATGCTGCTGACAATATCAAAGGATATGTCACATACCGACGAAGGAAGCAGGTAAGGTGCCCTTTGCTACATGCAGCATCTTTTATCGGTCGTAGCATCAAAAATCTCGTTATTTGAATTTCAAGCGGACGAACATAACGAGCATTTCATGGCGCTGTTATCTGAAATAATTTCTACTATAAACATTAACCAAGAAATTCGTAGCATAGATAAAATCGTTACAAAATATCATGTTTGAGCAATCGTGGGATACTAGCATTGTGAAGAAATTTTTTGGCAGATTTTTGCAAGGCAAAAATAGCGGTGGAGTGTTTTTAAAGATACTCTATCTCCCTCTGCTAACGTCCTGGCCAAACACAAAAAAAATTTAAAGCTTTTAGAAAGTCACATGGGCCATCCATTAGAAGTTGATTATGACAATGCAAAATGTATAAGCCCCTCAGTGAGTGAAATTTCGTGCTGACATAGAAGACAATAAAAGTTAATTTTAGTCTCTTCAAAAGCATTCTATCGGTATCAAAAATGTTTTCTCATTCCAGATCTGCCAAGAAATTTTCACTTTACTGTACTAATATCTCATGAGCGCGCTAAAAAAATATTTTATAGCAGCTTTTCAAGTGCTATGAATTTCTTAATTTTATTTATTGGAGACACATGTCATATGATAGCGCCATGCGCTGTTATGTTTCTTTTTTGAAAACATATAGCTAGCTTTTAATTTTACATTCTATAGAACTTGTTCCATTACTGTACCATAGTTGTCCCCGCAGCTTGTTTGAGGTAATATATTAGGCTGTCCGGAAATTAATGCCCGTTTTGAATTTCAACCGCAAGTCATACACTTCTTATTTCTAAATAGGTTGCAAAGTACCATTCGATAGAGCAAAGCAAGCTCTACAAGATGGCTCTCATGCTTTTGCAACAGCTCTTATCCACAAATTTATCGTAAAAAGTAAAAAGACTCAGCTGCCCGAAAAATCGAGAAACATAGTAACCCAGTCCATAAAAATCCTACAAAAATTCTTACCTGCACACGTAAACACTATCCACATAAAACATCTATATACGCCTTTGCCGTATTTCTTCCTCTGTTAAAAATCAAGAAAACGGAAATTTTCGTGAATTTGCCAAAGTGATGCTGTGCCGTCCCCACATAGGTAGTTGCATACTACAAACCTGTAGAAGTACAAACGTAAATTTTCAGTTCTCTACAAGCTTTAGTTCTTGAAAATTACCAAATATAGCTTTCCCTAATTAGGTGGTCCAAGCTAAAATTCATATTTCTCGAGAACTAAAGCTTGTAGAGAGCTGAAATTTACGATTGTACTTCTACAGGTTTGTAGTATACAACTACCTATGTGGGGACGGCACGGCATCACTTTGGCAAATTCACGAAAATTTCCGCTTTCTTGGTTTCTAATGGAGGGAAAAATACGGCAAAGGAGTATATAGCTGTTTTATGTGGATAGTGTTAACGTGAGCAGGTAAGAATTTTTGTAGGATTTTTATGGACTGGGTTACGATTTTTCTCGATTTTTTCGAGCAGCTGAGTCTTTTTACTTTTTACGATAAATCTCGAGTTGGATAAGAGCTGTTGCAAAAGCATGAGAGCCATCTTGTAGAGCTTGCTTTGCTCTATCGAATGGTACTTTGCAACCCATTTAGAAATGAGAAGTGTATGACTTATTGCGGTTGAAATTCAAAACGGGCATTAATTTCCGGACAACCTAATAATTCTCTGCCTATTGACACGTGCAAAAACAAATGGTTTGCGAAAAGACAAATCTGAACTTTGAATGAAGTCACCGCTCGAAAGCAACATGATGCTTCTCCTGATAACAGTTCTCTTCGAGTGCTCGCATGCAGTGTCCCAATCTTGTCGATATACATTCTATGCTCTCTTTTCTCTGCAAACTGCAAAAAAACGAGCGAGTAAGTTACAAGACGCACAAAGCTAGGCACCTGCGTGAAACATAATCGCAAAACGCGAAAGTTTCTCTTATTTTTTGTAAAGAGCACTATTTCGGGAGGAAACGTTGCTGATGCCGATAAAAAGTCCGCTGGGCTTCCTTTATTTATTTTGTATGCCCGTTTCCATCTAGTAGATTTATAGGCAGTGTCCCGGCAAAATTTCGCTTCGCTTTCCAGCTTCTCACCTTTCGGAGCCTTCTCGCAATTTTGTGCCAACCATATCTTGGCTTTGCAGAGGATAACTCGGACAAATGACTGGAACTTCCGCAGAGCGCTTGTGGAAGTTCCGTAAACGTGCTGCGGAAGTTCCGAAGAATGCCAACCACAGCAGCAAAAAAGAACATCGAAGCGAGATTTGAACCTCAGTCTATTGACTGTGAGACCACCTACTATCCTCTACGCTACGGCTGACATGTTCGATAATGTTAGTTGTTCGCGAGGCAACATCACGAGACAACACATTCAAAGTCCTGCGGAAGTTTTGGCAGGCCAAAGTGCTGCGGAACCGCTAGCATTTTCGGAAGTTCCGCAGCGTTTTGTAAAAATCCCGCGGAAGTTCCCGTTTTCAACCAGTTTGGCATGAAAATCCCGCGGAAGTTCCGATTTTCAACGTTTTCATTTCCGCAATAGTGAATAAAATTCTGCGGAGCTTTGGCTTGTCCTGCGGAAGTTCCGGTGATTTGGGAAGATTGCGAAAATGAGTTTTTGCAGCTCTCTCGCATTCGCTAGTACATAGGTATAGATAGGCGGGGGTTCGGGACGAGAGGGTGGGATCACCTAAATGTCACCTAAGGCTTTGGCCATACTTTGCCCGTGTTGCCAATGTTTCCAGTGTTACTCGTGTTACCGGTGTTGCCGATGTTACCAGTGTTACTCGTGTTGCCGATGTTTCCAGTGTTACTCGTGTTACTCGTGTTGCCGATAGCACCAATGTAACCGAGAAAATGAAACTGTACTGGCGATCATTTTAGAAATCAACAGCAATGAAGGCGGTAACACTAGAAACACGAGTAACACTGGAAACATCGGCAACACCGGTAACATGAGTAACACTGGAAACATTGGCAACACAGGCAAAATATGGCCAAAGCCTAAGAGCTATGAGCTCGTCCATGTCACTTTAGTATAGATCGCGGGCATATAAAATAAATATTCGATTTTGCAGCAATCTCCCGAAAACATGTATCGTTGTATAAGCTAATGATAAAAAGGATAAAACTATGCATGTATTCTTTATCCATAGACATAGCATTCATTTGCGTTTGTGGCAGCACAAGGATGGGGAAGCATTTCAACGCGTGCATAATGTAAGCTTCCATTCGTTCACCAAGGGCTGCAATCTGAGCTGTCCAAGCCAGAAAAATGTCAGCGCCGTCCCGAAACTGTCCTAGCGTCGTAGCGGAACGTTATCAATCAGCATCGGGCGTCAATGTAGGTTCGAGCAATGTGCCCGCCGCTGACACGGCGCTAGCACGACGCTGGCACGACGCTGGCATGGCGTCGGCACGGTATAATTCCGTTGACAATTGCCGCCACAGGGCAACCCTGTGTCATATCTCTCGCATTTGCGGGTCTTGCGGCAGTGCGTGTCCGTTTCATTATTATGGCATACTGTAACGCAAAAAAACCATTTCGCCTTTTCTTATATCACATATATCATTGTGATAAGCATGAATTTTTCAGTGACAACTCATACGATCCAAGACTTCTTGGATTTGCTTCGGTGTTTTTTGTTTCACTGTGCATCATAATTGGCAATATATTCTTCTTGATCAATCTGTTCAGAAGTGGAGGAAGACGTACTAGCATCCAATCTGGCAAGTTTTGAGATTTTATGACAGTTTCTGACGCTAGATCAGTCCAAAACCTGTATGGCGCAAATTGCGATGCTGTCGTGGTAGGATACGTTTGTCCTCTATCCATTTTCCGTAATCTCTGCGAAAAAAATTCCACGCAACCTCGCCCCTCCCCTAAAAATTGCCATATAGTGTTGGGAGACACATACCGGACACAACACCAGAACCAGTAAACTCTTCGTGCGCAAACAACTAACACATACTATTCATCTTTACCTACTGCATATCTGTGCTGCTTATCCGTGCAGGTGGAGAGCGTTGGCGGTAGTCCTCTAACCAATTTGAGCCCTTCCTAGCCCCCAAAATTACTATAGGGCATATTGTAGACGGAAAATCTGAATTTAAAGCCATACACATTTTACCCGCGCACAAGATGTTTGATGATTTCCATGGAAAATTAGCAAACACCTCTAATTTTTCCTGCCAATTTTCGCGAATGAGTTCTTATTAATAAGATCTTTCAGCGCCACAACCAACAACAGCGGATTCGAAAGAATAAGAATATGTGCGATATCATGTTTTTGTTGAATATCAATCCTATTTCATGTTTGTTTGCATAAATATGGCCTGCTTACAGATTCTTCCGAGGCGTGTATAACTGACGAGTAGAAACTTAATCTTGAGTCGAATAAAACACAATAAAGCCAGATTGGCGATATCAGCAACATTGACAATATTGGCAACACCAGAAACATCAGCAACTGCCCTCTTCTGTCCTCTTCTATTAATTTTCATCGTTGTCTGGTCAGTTAGCTTTACCCGCGAGCTCCTGACACCCAAAATTGGGTTCATCATGGGTATTGAAGAAGGCAGGATCATGTAGAATTGTTTTTGCCATCTGATTCTTGCTTCGTCTGTATGCTAGTTAGTGTGGGACTATGGACTTCGGGTTATTTTCCATTAGTGTATCTCCTATCAGGTTAAAAAGGCGTCGACTCCCTTTTCCCTGATGTGTAGCGGTGGTACAGAATACTTATTATATATATTTATTACTTACATATGTTACAGAAAGGGGGAAGGGGGAAAAGACTGCTGGAGCAGCCTTACGGGGCGCGGTCGTAAGGGGCACTGGCTTCTTATCTGAATTCCTTGGCCAGCCCACGGGAGGAGAGCAGGCAATGCTCAGTTGCGTCCCGACATCTCCATTCCTTGAGAGAGCTCGTCCTCGAGCTTGTTCGGCTATTGTTGGACGTCTTCCGAGTTACGTGTGTAAGGAGTACACGTGTTACGGCGAGACCATAGAGAACTTCGATTGAGTACCGTTGTCTTCAGGTTGATTAAGTAGAGGAATCGGTTTAGGCGGATTGGATAACCAAACAAACGACCTTCACCTCATCCTAGGGGTACTGAGTAAGCTTGTCCTCAAGCTGAGAAATATACGGAATGAAAGAAGTGACGTGGAACTGCTTGGAAGAGGCAGTGACATGTGGTTGTAGAAAGTGTTGGAACGTATTCCCAGATATTGATAGAGGGGAATAATTATTGTGGAGATTTGTAGAAGCATAATGTGACCGGTATTCGACAGTTGATACGAGGAAGTTATGAGGAGGGCATTTGCTGTAGAACTTGTTTAAAAAAACAGTATTGTTGAGCGCAAAAATAGTTAACAGTGTATTAGGCGGTATTGAAATACAGAAGTAACTTTTTTGGAGTGTATGTTATACAAATAAGTTTAAACGATTTGATGTATGATATACTTATGCTTAGAATACGATAACAAGGCAATTATGTTATTTGATTTGAGTGATGTAATGTACAGTATATAAGGCATTTGTTGATACAAATCAGAGTGGCATTCCTTGGCCAGCCCACGGGAGGAGAGCAGGCAATGCTCAGTTGCGTCCCGACACTCCTTAAACTTCTCTGTTTACTAAGTCTGAGGTCTGGCTGCTTTCTTTACTTTGTTTCCTAAAGTTTTTATCTCTTCTTTTTTACGGCACACCTTGAGTGTACTCATAAATAAATAAAATAAATAAACTTCGACAACATGCAACACTGGTAGCGCAACATTGGTAACAATGGCAATACCGGCAATACCTGTGAAGTTTGTCTAACAGCCCTTGAGTTGTTTGCTAGGCTATCTTATGCCATGTATGGAGTAGGCAACATCGACAAAATTGGCAACATACGCTTACAAATCGGCAACATTTGCAATTGCAACAGAGTCAACACATGTGATGCATGGCTATATCGTGACGGGATTCATGAAATACTTGATAGGTTCCTCTACTCTACGAAGTATGGTAACATAAAGAAGACTAGCAACAGGGACAGGCAACACCAGCAACATTTGCGAGACTGGCGGCACTAGCAACACCTGCTAGTTAACTTAGTGGTCCATGAGTTGGTTACTAGAACCTACAAAATGTATGTGCTGCCCGCCCATTCGCTCGGACCAATCACAGTGGAGCCTGACCAATAAGCGCGCTGCATTCAGCAGAGAATATTTCCTTTCTACATAGAGGAGATATGCATGTGCGTTATTTACAAAGTGATTAGACGCACAACATATCTAATTTACAATGATCGAATCATTGTTGATTGAATTAGTATTACTTGTTGAAAGGAAAACAAATGTCTGATATTATTTATTCATGTCAATATTCATATAATGAGTATCATCAGGCACCGAACGCACACACATATGTAGAAAAATTTCCAATTGTTTCTTTTTATCATTTGTTGAGAGTACTGCATTCAAACATAACCTACTGTATATGTAGATAGTTTACTGTAGTCACATGGCTTACGCAAAACGAATTACTCTGTGGAACCCGGCAGTATGGAATTTGAAGAAAGGTTTTTTTCCAACTACAAAAATTTATGGGGTGGGAGAGGGGGGGGGGGAGATGCTTAAAGTAGGAAATATGACAAAATGGAATGATTTTGAAGGAAACCGGGGGACGAAAGCCGTTGAGCACCACCGCACGCACGCAAACACGTATTGTGGCTTAACTCCGAGAAGAGTTTTAGGAGCTATTCCTTACCCAGGTAAATTTTTTGGGTAAAGTGATATCCTACCCATAAGGCGGAGCTAGGCTTGAACAAAATGCTAATGTCATTGTGAAAGGCCCTAATATATCAGTTCTTCTCTTGTTTGTGTTTCTTGTTTTCGATTTGGATCAAGGAATGGGAGATCTTTTGGATCCTGTATCGTTGAAATTGGTCCGTTGCGTGGTATGAGCGTAGCACGAGGTACTGTAATTCGAGATATTAGGGAGTACGGTAATACAGTAGGGAAGTTCCCTACTTGTTCCGTACAACTCCGTAGGTGGCAGAATCATAGGTGGTGTAAGCTGTGGTGGAGCGTAGACGCCACCGGGAGCAGAATACTCTGATCCAGGACCGCGTCTTATAGAGCCGGATTCACTTCGCGGCTGAAATATCACGAAAATAAAAAATCGATTTATCGATTAAAGTGTGGAAAGTGTGGAATTCTTACATGTGGCTTTTTCATAGAGGGTGTTTCATGATTACACCATGTCTATATGTTGATGTAGGCGTTACGGGTACATTAGCACCTGGTGGTGGTGGATACGGTAACGGACTACCGGAATACGGTGTTGAATAGATCTGATCCGGCATTAATGGGCGCCTAAAGTAGTAGCTAGCATAAAAGAAATCGCTGTTGTCTGTCACGCCCATATTTTGTTTGAAAATTCTTCGATCTTGAAGAAAGCCCATTTTGGTACTACTTGCCATGCCCATTTTTGTTTAAATCTATTAGATGTACTCGGATCTACAGAAACATCACATCGACTAAGGTTTTGAGATTTATAGGGGACTAGCTGGCTTACCCGGCTCCGCCGTATGTTCCGAATAGAAAATTCCATTTCTTAACCGATCCAGACCAAACTTGGCACACATACACTTCGGGCCCCGGCGGGTGTCATAGGCTACTTTTCGTCATCGATCGATATCGATTTTATCGATTTTTTGCAAAAATTGAGCTACGGGTCTGGAATTTGGCAACGGGGGTGATCAGCATGCTCGATTACACCCCTGTGCCAAATTCCAGACCCGTAGCACAAATTTTGCAAAAAATCGATAAAATCGATATCGATCGATGACGAAAAGTAGCCTATGACACCCGCCGGGCACCGAAGTGTATGTGTGCCAAGTTTGGTCCGGATCGGTTCAGAAATGGAATTTTCTATTCGGAACATACGCACACACAGACAGACATACACACATACAAACAGACATTCAGCTTTATATATAAGATTTTGTGAAGAAAAAGATTTGGTACCTTCCTACCACGCCCACTTTTGTTTGTGAAAGCCGAGTTGATACTGACTATGACTGTCATTTAGAAAAAAGCCCAGTTGGTATTATCGGCTGCGCCTATTTTTGTTCGAATCTTTTGGATGGTGAAACTAGCTATGTTGAACTATCAGAGATTTATACATGGAGATATATCATCGACCAAACTTGTCTCCTTTTTCATCTCAATTTTCCCGCAAAAATGGCTAAAAAACATTATTCAAGTGCATTTTTCCCATGTAAAAACTGACTAAGAAGCCTCAAAAGCAGCGTCCAAGTCGATTTTTTCAAGCTCTTCCATCACCAGAACTTGGCCCTGGTTCTAAGTGAGGATTTTAGAAGGGGAAAACCAAAAACCTTTAATTAGGAGCATTTTTTTGAGTGTGGACGAGGAAGGACAGGAAGGACCAGTCAACGCCCTCGAGTAGGGGTCTTAGGCTAAAGCTTATATATCAAATGATGAATGAAGAATGGCTGTTTGAGTTGTGGCCTGAGTAATGGGGATAAAGGGATGAATTCACTTTCGCGGACTACTGCTACCACTGGCACATGCTCTTGCATGCGATGCGAGGATCTGTAGTTTGCCGCGTTTTTAGGGCGAATACATCCCTCCATCTTCAAGTTATTCTCCTTATGTTAGCTAGATCGATGAAATGAAAATGCTTGAAGTCTATTTTGCCTAACACATTCCAAGGTAAAAGAAAACAAATATAAATTTTGTACCATCAAATTAGTGACGTTGAATTTTTAAATCGTGAAATAGGAAGACAGGCTGCGCCATCATGGTAAGACACAAACCTTATTGACGTGAATTGTAGTTACACAGGCAATGGTCTCAGCTTTGAAGATAAATTTTCTAGAAAAAAAGAGCGGGCTTGATTTGCAGACAATCAACCACAACGATGCATCTCCTTATATAGCATGTCTTCATAACGACAAATCAAACGTTCTTCTAACAAAAAACGGTCAGCTGAATTTCTAGGTTTCACGTAATCCCATTTCTTTTTTACAAGCGCATATCCTACGAATTTGCAGCTTCATTCAAAGCCTGTTATTTAGACCGGCGTCACCATAAAATGGTGACGAATTAATCTCTACCATAAATGGGTCTAATGATTTTAGGGGGGGGGTGGGAGGGGGGATTGAACTACTAACGAAAATTAACCGAATCTTATTTTAAATTATACGTAGCATAGTATGATATACATATTGATTTGTGCCGAAAAATGGCTTTTGTATAAAGAATCAAGTTTATTTCTTCTCACGGTGCTGGTTCTTGACTAAAATCATAATGATGCTGCTTCCAGAGTCCGTGACAGCGTCGTGCTAGCGCCGTGCCGGAACGTCGATCGATGAGCACGAGTTTCAAGCGTTTTTGGGCGCTCCGGTACTTGCTGGGATGGCGCTAGCACAAAGGGGCACATGCCCCTTTTGCACACATTCGCATGGATATGATGGATGTTGCGGCTCCGTGAGCTCAGCATTCTTCAGCTTCGCTCGAGTACCATACATGACTAGTCCCACCCTGAGATTTCACACGTCCCCGAAAGCATGTACCATTTGGCGCGTCTGCCTGATGCGATCACTCCACACCAACAGCTCATACACAACGCACGTCTGGTTTAAGTAAGTTTATAAAACAATAAAACATAAAATACATAACAAAATCACTAAATTACAAGATTTCCAACCTAAGAAGGGTGACTTTACAATACTACGGGAGGAGCCGCATCGTCCCGTGCTGCCGATGCTTTCAAGGCTCAATTCAAATAAAGAAAGTCTGATTTCTTTTGACAGGGTCTGCCGCTAGAAGCACTGGTTCATATGGAACGGCGCGACACCACCTCCATTGCCCATCCTGGCTATTACCACTCGAACCCTTTCCGCGCTTCTGCGCCGTCTATACACAAGACATCCCAACGCTTAACCGCTCAGCATAATAATCCTCTTATGTGGAGCTGATGAAAACGAGGGCAAGTATGATAAGAGAGCAGTCTTATATATAAAGCTAAATGTGTGTATGTATGTCTGTATGTCTGTATGTCTGTATGTACGTATGTGCGGAATAGAAATTTTTATTTCTGAACCGATTTGGACCAAACTTGGCACACATATATTTCAGGGCGGGAGCGTGTTATAAACTACTTTTCGTTATCGATCGATATCAATTTTATCGATTTTTTGCAAAATTTGGCTACGGGGCTGGGAGTTGGTACAGGAGGGTAATCGAATGTTGATTACAAATATGTTATTGACAAGGCCGGGCGGAGCCGGGTTTGCCAACTAGTAAGTAATAAAATCGAAGTCGTGGAGTGGGGGCTGCTCTCACGCGCAGCCTTATATACTGCGCAACTTGGCATCGTTCCCAGCCGGAGTGGTCCTGCGGCGGCTACAAAAAACGCGACAGGTAAACATGGCATACAATGCTCCCCGCACCTGTTCCGAAGAGCTGCCATGCATCGCGTAGCTACGACAATGAGAAGCACCTTTTCGCACAATAGGTGACAGTATGGAATCCCCTGGACGGTCGGATGTGCGAATCTGCCTACGACCATCCATGTGATGCGCATCTTGCCATTTCGGAAATTAGTATGCACCAAATATGCTTTCTAAGATTGTAATCTTCCTGGTTTCAAGTAAGCTTGAAGTTTGAAACGTGATTGTATGCACCAAAGTAAACTGGCGTATTTCATTACTGTACAAGGGTTACGATAGGAACTACTCACAAGAAACTGAGTAGCTCCAGTTCTTTTCGTATAACGCGAATTCTATAGCTTGTTGAGTGTTCCCAAAGCACAGGCCTGATTTAAAGTGTTTAGCTGATTGTTTACAATTTCAAGCTCCAATATTATTTTTTTAACAATTTAGAGAGGAAGAATACCTTCAAAACAGCCCCTTGCTATCAGATGTTCACTAAGTCTCAGACATGTCAAAAAAATCTGGAAAGTGGCGAACTCCACCCCTGAGCGACTTCTCCCACTTTCTCGGATGTACTACATGCATACGAAATTACACTATTCATTCTTGTACATGCAATAGATTCTGAGAGATGCATAATTAGCTGAAAATACTTGAAGGAAGTGGCTCGGCAAATCTCAACTTAGTCAAACTTTCGCTTACCTGGGGTTATTCAATAAGCTGATCACGAAAACCCACTTTAGAGAGCTTGAAAACGGCGAAAACGAGCGTTTTTCGACACCCTTCCCTACAATTGAACGAGTGGAGCAAGGCTCATGGCGCTGAATCGTTGCGGGACCCAATGATTATAGCATTGCGGCGGGCAGCCTCCAATGGTGAGAAGGAAGTTGCCGACCCGTCCGGGTGCGTGTAAGATTGGCTTGCGCGTGTAAATTTGAGAGCGATTTTCTCGACAAGGAAGGCATGCTGTGCGACCGGGATCGCACGGTTTTCATACATGGACGATAAGTAAACTACTGCGAGAGTTGTCAAGTTTTGCCGATCCACTCCCTTCAAACCTTTTCGGCCAACTTGACGAAACTTTTGACCAAACAGCTTCCCTCCCTTTCCTCAACTTTTCCTTTATCTGGTCATCCTCCTTGACCGTTTGCAAAAGAATTCAAATATCAAGTTGACAAGAAAGCTCTCGCACATTGAACTCAACGAATACATCATACATGTACACGTTATATAAAATGTGTATAGGCTGCCGTATGACGAAGGCGCAATATCTTTGGGTGCGAACGCGGCTTTATTAGCCGCAGAGCGCATGAGGCGCAGTATTTGCAACGGTGAGGATACGCTCGAGTCGCGTCTGCGCCAACTCAGCTAATATTGTTTCTGCGCCCTCGTCATGCAGCACATAAAAAACAAGGAAAGAAATCTGCAAAAGTTTAACTCCGCCCTATTAACCCTGAGCTCCTCCCATTTGCCTAAATCTAAAAATGCAGCACTACAGCTGTAAATTTTTACTCTTCCACAGGCACAAGATCCTGAGAAATGCAATGTGCCCAAAAATATCTGCAAATTCTACCAGCTGTAGAGTTTTATTCGTTTTGAGCAAGTGGGAGGAGTCTAGGGTTAATGAGGGCGAATTCGAAACTTTTGGTAACCTCTTTTCAACTTATTGAATTATTATGATTATACAGCTTCTCTGCCCTTCATTTACTTCTCCTTCCCCCCCCCCCGTTCTCCTCTAGTGCTTCCAAAAAATCATATGAAATGGCTAAACGCGAAGAAAAATTTCTAAAAGTTCCAATTTTTTAGTTTGCACATCCGCACATTTCCAGGTGATTAGCTGACAGTGGCAGCCAAAAAAATTATTTCGAAAAGAGGAATGGCAAAATCTTGGAAATGGGAGAATTATACAGAATTATTTTATGGAAAATATGCTTAGCTATTCTTCTCATTGTCGATTTTTCGCG